TTGCAAAGAATGACTTGCAGAACTTTGTTTTTAGTATGCTTTACTTCCTTCATTACTGATGTTATCTGACAATTTAGAAATATTAAATTCATTTATTCTGCTTTTCTTGTCAAGGTCCATAGATTATTTTTCCTAGACTATTACTTTTTAAAATTGGTTGGTCTTTAAATAATTTTAGCTTGTATGTAGAGCTGTTTTGAGTTCCAAATACCTGCAGATGGAGTTTATTATAACCAGAGATAATTGGACCTTAATACCTGTAAAACATCCGCTAGAGACATGAATAGGCCTTTTTTCTTTTCTGGCAGATGTTTTGCAGATACTAGACTCATATCCAATTATCTTTGAGTACTTCAGCAGTTCACAATAGCATTCATTTGAAGATGACTATATTATTCTTTTCTCTCCTTCCCCATGTTATGAAATGAAAGACATAACGTATCCTTCTTGGAAGGACAGAGAGGTATTTTAATGAAAGTTTGAAGAGACTTCCTAAAACTGTTCTTACTGATGCCCGCTAGCCAGTCTTGTTATTCAGCATCAAAGCCTTAGCTTAACATTTTCCTCAGCGCAAAATTAAGCAGTAGGGAGTTCTGCACGTATTTCCCAGAGGAGTGCAGAGATGCTTAGATTGGAATCATCAACTTGAATATTTTGGTGAGAATTTTCAAAGGAATTCAGCTCTCCTCAAGACGGAATTGTCAATATTTACCTAGTACGAATGCTGTGAGAATACAGGGAGCACCCTAACCACATCTCTCATCCTTATTGGTAGAGAGGGAGAGCTGGAAGTTTTGGCTACATGCTGGAAATTCAGTCCTGGCGTTCCTTCCTGCATCACCCCTGGTATGATTATATGATTCAGGACCGAACTGTGTGTAAGCAGTTGGGCAGAAAAGATCTACAAAGAGATGTTCAGAAATGAACAGAATAAAGGACCATTGAGGTTTTCTTTAATGAACACAGCAGGTTTTTTTCCTTGCTGTAACTCATTTTATCACTTCTATTTGGTCAGAAAGGAAAACAAAAGATTGATTTATTAGTTGTAAAGCTTAACAATTAAATTGCCTCAAAATGTTTTCCTGATAAATCCTTCCAAATTCAGTAAATGGTCTTTTATCCATTGGAATTAGTAGTTTAAGATATAATAGAAGCAGAACTCAGCAGTATCAAAACAGTATGCAATGTATGTAATGTCATTTCTAAACTCAGTATATATTTTTCCTAATACGTACCTGCTTTAATAGCTCAGCACCATCCAGTTTATTATTGCTTTTTATATGTTATGTTTTCTTATGTTACTTCACTGAAGGCCGAGAATGAGCTGTCAGATAGGAAGTAACAGTACACAAGGAAACAAAAAGCTATCTGCCTTTTTTCTGAAGACGGAATCGTGACAAGAAGAGTAAAAGATATCATGACAACCTGATATATTTCAAGTCTGCAGATTCTGCATGTGTTGGTCATGCCATGTAAGCCTTGGAAAAAAATGACCAACAAATTCACAAGAGTTAAGGATTTTAAAATTACTCATTGAATTGGGCCTGTTTTTCTGTGAACACTATTAGTAATGAACTCCATCCATGTACCACTAATCTTCCTGGAAAATACCTTTTTAAAGCAAATGAAGTAGATCTAGTAGTACTTAAAATCTAGGATTGTGTAGTGAGTAGAAACAGCTATTCAACAAGTAGTGCCCCAGTGCTAACTTCCTGTCATGCAACAGCTTTTGCATTGGCCCTACGTGTGTCACTGAAAGGGCAGAGTCTTTTCCACGCAGTATTTGGGAAAATGCGCAGCTTTTGTTATTGGCAGATTCAGGTGGTAAGTAACAACTACAAATTTAATGTAATAAATTCGCTGGAAAACATCTTTTATAGGTATCCACTGAGAACCAGAGGACTGGCTCTGGCAGGATAAGGCATTTGTAGCTTCAATCCAGGGAATGGAAGGACCAAAGTTGTACCAACGGTAATAGAGACAGAACTTGATATATAAACTTGCAACAAAAATATTGAAATAATAATAAAAACCAGAACAACTTAAATTAAAGGTGAATAAGTATGAAGTTTTTCAAGCTGTGTGCAGGATGGAATAGTCTGTTAGCTTAAACTAATTATTTGTTTCTTGACATGTTCAATAACGAGAAGAGCCTCAGTATTTCAGGCCACTGTGGAAGGGAAAGAGATTTTAAAGTATTGCACTTTTCTATCGTGTAACATTTACTGTCTTTAGCTGTCTTTAGACTGTGGAGGAAGCAGGACAAGGCTAATTGAAGAAATGAAAGATAGGGAGGAAGGCACCCATGCAATTAGGCAGTTTCAGAAAATCATTACTAAGCATCAAAATACATTATTTTCTCCTGAGAACAAAACAATTCTCATTTCCTGGGCAACTCTTTAATTTGATTTTTTTATTAAATATATTTTAAAGAGCTGATACTATAGAACAAATAGGTTCTAACTGTTCTTAGTGCTGAACTAAGAATGCACTGCATGGTCATTGGAAGTCATTATGCTATCCTTATCTCTAAGTACAGCATCAGATGGTCAACGCAACAATTTATGCTGTAGTTTTCTTCATGAGATTACTCAAAGCTCGTAGGTCCTTACAATAAAAAATGTATGACTGAGCATACTTTTTTGTATCACAAAGTGTCATCAGTATGACTGTGGAATCATGGTTACTGTTTGTTTAATTACAGAGGATAGGCTTGCTGACAGATAGCATTAATCTTGGCTCCTTTTCAGACCTCTCATGTTTTAGACTCTGAACAAGTAATGTGCAATCAATACAAAGATTGACATCTATGAGATACTTCATTTCACAAAAAATCAGTATAGAAGAATGTAGATGATTTTGTTTATGATGCTGTCCAAACAGATGAGGGAAGCTAAATATTATCTGAAGCTGTTAGTTCAAATTATGTTTTTATTTTCTTCTTGATGAAGCAAAAAAGCAAGTATAACTGGCAACAAATCAGTAACCACTGATGTAAGCTATTTGTTGTTGTGAATTTAAGCTCCATTTCTTAAGAAGCTCTGGATACATCAAAGGCATATCGTGTTTTGCATTGCAGGTCTTTTTCTCCCTTCACTGTTGAATCTTATTTAGAAGATACTGTCCTTGTTTTAATTTGGTTGGTGTTGCCTATCAGAGGTAATTTTTTTTGTAAATGGAAAGGTTTAGAAAACGTGTTTCACAAAAAAGTTTTTAAAATCTGTTTTCATTAGTTTATTTTCTGTCAATTTCAGCAATTTTGAAAGAAGAGCAGGGTTGCCTCTTGAATCCTTAATGCTGATTATATGTTCAAAGTCTGTCCCCTATGAATGAGACAGCTCTGGTTACAGAATTCAGTTTTCAGTTTTCTGCCATCAGACTGCTTTAGGTTTGCTGGTAGACCCATGAAAAACAGAAGGAAGGAGTGACATACACAAAACTGGAATTGCCTTTAAACTTCTGTAAGAATACAACTACCAAAATACTTCAAAACTTGCTGTATTTGGAAAAGATTTATATGGTTGTTTCAGTGTTTTCACAGAATATTGTGTTTCCATCTTCAAACTTGCAGGCCTTCTGCTACTGCTGTGCACCTGTGTTTTGCGTGGATTATCAAAAACGAATACTATGTGGTACAAGTTTTATAAATTCTGAGTTATCACAGAATGCATAATCTGCAAAACTGCTTGAAATCAAGTCATACTCTTGAATGGTGCTTAGTGTAATTTTGATTTTTGTCTATAGATAGGAATGTGAAATTAACTCAAATCTGTATATCATTTTATCTGACTTTTGCAGAGGAAAATACTCATTAATTGTTCAGAGCTCATCTTTCTTTTTTCAATTTTCAACAACAAAAACCTTTAATAGGTTAAAACTTTTTCTGTTTTTTTTTTTGTGTGTGTGTGTGAATTTATGTTCTCCACTGATCAGTACTCTACCAACTCTGAAGTATGTAAGTTAGCTCAACTGCTGTATAAAGAACTTAGATTCAGATTTCGTGCATGTGCTTTATGACTGGGAAAACTAATACTGTTTTATGTTTCTTTTTTGTTTCTTTTTTTTCCGTGGTGTTTGTTGTTGTTGTTATTTGGTTTTTTTTGCCATGAAGAGCAATAGCTTCTGAATCTATTATTGTTGTGTCTTCTGAGTGCCACACTAATTGTGGCTTTCTTCAAATGTATTTAAGCCTCCTTGGGAAAAAAGAATAACCTTGTTTTACAAGTAAATCTAAATGGATTTGAACAACAGTTCAGCATCAGCCAAAAAAAATTATTGACTGATAGAATGGTTTGGGTTGAAAGGGACCTTTAAGATCATCTGGTTCCAACCCCCCTGCTATAGGCAGGGATGTCTCCCTCTAGACCAGGTTGCTCACAGCTCCATCCAGCCTGGCCTTGAGCACCTCCAGAGTGGGGACATCCACAGCCTCTCTGGGCAACCTGTTCCAGTGTCTCACCACCATCACAGTTAATAATTTCTTTCTAATATCTCATCTAAATCTGCCCTCTTCCAGTTTAAAGCCATTGAAATACAACCAGTGAAGCTGTAAACTACATTGTGTACACAGCAAATATTATGAGCTACTCTGTGCTGAGTTTCTCTCTTGACCACTGTTTGAGGGTTGACTGGCCATTACTTGGCAGATGATGATCATTTGCATTACAGGTGTACGTATATCTATTTAGAAAGAGAGTTATCATCACATTTTTGCTTCTGTTTTCCTTTTCTGTCTTAGTAAATAGCTTTTATCTCAACCCATGAGTCCTGTTTTGAAGGGAGTGAGCTAACAGCTGTGTGGTGCTTAGCTGCCTGCTGGGTTCAACCACAACAAAATGAAACTTAGAATTACCTGTGCCTGTCTCTGCATATGTATCTGTTCTATCATTAATATTTTAGTTTCAGAAATATATTTGACATATTTTCTGAATGAAAATGGAGACCGTTCTCCATTACATGAGACTTGATGTGTATTTTAACACTTTGCTCCTGTTTTATAGATGGCTATACGACAGACGACATTGAATTTTACTGGCGTGGTGGTGATAATGCAGTCACAGGAGTCACAAAGATTGAACTGCCACAGTTCTCCATTGTAGACTACAAGCTTATCACCAAGAACGTTGTTTTCTCTACAGGTTTGTGGATGGGAAACTAAAAGGGGAATTAACTGGGAAGACTAAAAATGGTCTAATTCTCAATGTGGAGTTCAGGATCTGAAAATTTTAGATACAGAAGTAAATTAGAGCAGCAACTAAATTTTAAATCAAGCGAATTTTATTACAGCTTCACAATGTGTTCCTCATTAATCTATGAAAAGAATTCAACAGGCTGTTATGTTAAGATTCAGTCAGATTTTCTGGTTTTCTGTAAAACTGACCAAGACACACACACCTCAGCACCTTAACTCCCAACAAGAAATAGCTCAGCTTGTAGGAACTTTTCTCTCTATTTCCAGATGCTTTAGGCTAATTATTTTGTCTTCACCATAAAACCCTTCATATCGTCCTTCCACAAGATCTGTAGTTTATACTATGCTAGCAAACATAAAACTTTCTGAAGGCTGAAAAGGTGCTGTATAACAAATTGAAATGACATTAAGTCATTCAAATGAGTTGAATTATTTCTATTTGGTGTTCTCTACCTACTCAAGAAAGCTGACAGATATTAGATTAGGAAGGGAAGAAAAAAAAAAGAAGGAAAAAAAAAAAGCAAAACAGACAAACAAAAGAACACTTAATCATTTTTTAGGGATAAACAGAAATCATCTTGGGAGAGAATATAGAAGCACTGTGTATTCCAGATTCTTCAAAAGCAAAGCGGAAATGGGACTTGAATACATGATGATCTCCAGGAACCCATTTCAATGAGCGCTTCACACACCACAATTTTTCTGCTGTGGTGACAAAGGGGAAGCGTTGCGATGCCTGGAGAGAAGGTTAGAATAAAGGTTACACTGAAGGAAGCATACTGCAGCTTGTCAGCAAAGAAACACTGTTATATTTTGATGCTGTGAAATGTGTTTTGGCTGTTGATTTTTGAATATTATGATTACCAGCAGAAATGAACCCAGTAGCTTCCTTGTACCCTTGAAGTAAAACATTAGTTAATCTCAATTCTTGCTAGAAACCTCACAGCTGATTATTCAGGGTCTTTTGGCTCTCTGTGTAGTCTTTGCTGCAGGAAGCAATAAAACCAAAATGACAGGAAAATGTTTTCAGGCTTTATATGAGTAAATTATGGCCATACCAAATATTCTCTTTTAGGTGCCTACCCAAGGCTGTCTCTCAGCTTTAAACTTAAGAGAAACATTGGTTACTTCATTCTGCAGACCTACATGCCTTCTATTCTGATCACTATTCTGTCCTGGGTTTCCTTCTGGATTAATTATGATGCTTCAGCTGCGAGAGTTGCTTTAGGTAGGCATTTTTACACCTCTCGTAGTGTGCATTAGTTGAAGTGTTTTTCTTGCTTCTGGCATGGGGGATAGTGCATGGTTGGAAAAACAAATCTGTTAGATCTGGCTTGCAAACTTTGTATTATTTGAATCAGTGTTTAAGTCATCCCAATTTAAATATAAATTGAAGTGATTTCATGTCTAGATTAGCTAACTGTATAATCATTGTAACCAGAATTAGCCTAATTGTCTGTGTTCTCTGTTGTTGTTTTACTGCTTGTTCTTCTTTTAAGAGAATGCATTCAGTTTGCTTTTGCTCATGGCAGTTCGGAGCTCTGTATTGTAGAGTATAAATTGCTTTTTCTTTTGAGTATAAATTAAATAAAGTTTTACTTGGGTTGTAGAGATAATGAATATCTATTGCCAAATTTTGTATAAATCAGATCAATTCTTTCCAATTTTGTTCTGCTACAGATAAGTAAATTGCTGTAAAGGACAATTGAGAATTTGTCATTTTAACATTATGGAATGCTGTCTGAGTTTTGCCAGGCCTTTTTGTGTAGTATTTTATGGTAAGAATTGTAGTCTACAGACAGCATTGAAAATGCTGGAGGAAAGCAAGATACACTGACCCTAGGCTGGTGATTTGTAACTGAGGCTGCTCCAGTAGGTTATGGTTCAGCTGGTTAAAAGCATACTTGTACAGTCCAACTACTGTTTGCTACCAGTAATTTTCTTTGCTGTACAAAAAAATTTAAGACTAAGGAAGACCAAGGTTTTCTGATTGTTTTTCTACGAGGAAAAAAAAAAAAAACCAAAAAAAACCCTAGAATTCTTTCTAGCACTAGCAGTTGATTATTCTGAGCTACAATGCTGGAACATTTAAAATAAGTTCAGTCAGCAGACTTCTAATTTTTTTCTTTTTTTTTTTTTTTTTCAGGAATCACAACTGTCCTCACCATGACAACAATTAACACTCATCTTCGAGAGACTCTTCCCAAAATTCCATATGTGAAAGCCATTGACATGTATCTTATGGGATGTTTTGTCTTCGTTTTCATGGCTCTGCTAGAGTATGCTTTGGTCAACTACATCTTCTTTGGCAGGGGACCTCAGCGTCAAAAGAAAGCAGCAGAAAAAGCTGCCAGTGCCAACAACGAGAAGTTGCGAATGGATGTCAATAAGGTAAATTTAAATAGATATATGTTTTAGCATTGCCCCATGACTAAAGTAGGCTTGCACTTCTGCCAGATAGAGCTTTTAAATGTAATTTCTGCTAGAAAGCAAAGTGGGGTTATTATGACCTTAGCTTTCTGCAGGGTCACGAACTTAGCCACTTCAGCATTGAATACTGCCCTCTAGTCTGGAAAACTGAATGTTTGTTTCCTAAAGCATGTTCTCAGATATGTTTTACTGTGAGATGTTTTCTCAGTGGAATGTACAGTTAAATATTTCTGATCTGTTTGCAAAGGAACAAAACCAAAATGATGGCTATAGCTAATATTCTAGTAAGAGCTGTATGGAACGTGAGAAATAAAACTTAAATTTAACCTACTTGAATAAATCTTTCAAATGACCTGGATAAGAAATATTTTCTACAGAAGTGCTTAAAGCTTGGAAAGTTTGCATATTTTCAAAATAAAGTGGCGCAGAATGTTGTTGACTAAATGAGAAACTGCTCAGAAATAAAGTATCAACTTGCTGTGCACTTAATTCTGAATCTGAAAATGGTCCCCTGGGGAGGGGGAATTGAGGCAGAAAAGACATTTGCCAAGATGCACACTTTTAGAAAACGTGTCCATTATACTTAATGAAAATGAAGCACTTACCATAAAGCACTTGTCATTTTTCACTGTGGCAATTTTGGATGAGTTTCACACTGTGGCAGATCTGGGTTGAATGCTAAAATGTACTCAGTGTGAAATGTATAAACTTTCACACACAGGCAAAATTAGAAAGTTAATTAAAGATAAATTCTCCCTCTTCATTTTTTTTTTTAATTGGAGAACTTTGTGTTCTTTGTTCAACATTATACTCCAAAGAAAAATAAACAAAATAAGAATTAAAAAAAAATAATCTAAATCAGAAAATGATTATTTGTAAGTGGAAACATAAGTTTCATACAGCTTTGGTGATGGAATTTCTCATGTTTCTTCAGAATTTCTGCACTGTCATAACATGTCCATGGACAGAGGATGAAAGTACAAAACACATGCTGATAATGTAAAACAGCTATAGTTTTTTTAGTGTATATAATTTTATTGCCTTTAAGAGAAAAGATTATATTTTCATGTGTGAGATCTCACCTGTTCAATAATTTTTCTTTTAATTTGGAATAAATATTTTAATGAATTAAGACATGCATAATGATTAGATTAATTTTGATGGTCTAATACCATAAATAATTCATTCTTATTTTAACATTACAATGTTTTTGAAGAGTGTTTTAAACCCCAAGTAGTCTTTTTCTTTCATTATTATTTCATTTTATAAGTAATCATTCCTATTACAAATAATAATTATTTCATTTTTCAAATGTAATTTTTAGCGATCAGTTTCCCTTTAAACAATCAAAACTAATAACTAAGAAAACCCAGTAGGTAATTTTGTAAGAGTAGATCTGTATTACCTAGACCTTTCCTCTAATGTACATGGAAATTTAAGGTTCATATGTGCCAGCATGTCACAGAGCCCCTAGCTGAAGTGTGTTTTTATGCAGTTTTTGTAGTGGTTTTTTTTCGTGATATTCTCTTCATACTTATTCATATGATATAAGAGAATACCAAAGTCTATTGGCAAGTTACTTATCACAAACTAGGATTGGAAGACACTAACTATTACTAATCCAATCCACTAAGCAGGGTAAAATAATTTGGATGTCCACTGCAGGAGTTCTACAGAGTTAACAGGGAATATACTGGGAAAAACTTCATACTAGTTGTATTGTCGAAATTGAGCCTTTGGGTTAATTTACCAGGCCATTATGGTTCATAATCTGTGGCAGTTTTACTTTAGTATACAGGTAACACTGATCTGCTAATCAATTTTGCAATCCTTTAAGATGAAATAGGAGAGGAGAAAGGAGTAGAAATTTGTCCTACTGAACATAGACTGTTTTGGGGAGGAGGAGAGGAGCTGATAGTTGCTCTTTTTTGACCATCAGCAATAAAAAGATTTATATTTAATGGATCTGAATATCTTCTTTCTGAAAGGGGACCAGATATTGTATAATAATTTTTGTGCACAGGAACTGTCTTAACTGTAGAAATTTGTTCAGATGGAAGTTTCCATGAAAACTCAAGTATTTAGGAATAGACCCAAATGAACACTCCGTCTCTAATTAGGATGCAACATCAAAGGACTAATTTTATGAAGTTTGAGTATTCTTTTGTGATATTACTAGATTCTTCATGTATCAGTAGATGGAATATTATGAAATAGTGGTTGTGGCTTCAGGGACAATGTGAGAAAAGAGTAAGAAACCTTAAAACAGAAGGAAAACTTTTATACAGCTCTGTTGCTACCTTCACCATAGACTTTGTAAAAACAAGAGATGAATAGTTGTTGGAACATGCAATGCAGCATCTCTGTGTATACATTATACAACAGCAAATCTATACAGGCTGCCCATAGGGGCTGTGAACACGCCATCCCTGGTAGTGTTCAAGGCCAGGTTGGATGGGGTGCTGGGCAGCCTGGTCTAGTACCTGGTTTATTGGTTGCCAGCCCTGCCTGAGGTAGGGAGGGATTGCAGCTGGGACATCCTTGAGGTCCTTCCAACACAAGTTGTTTTATGATCCTATGGTTAAGCGTAGATCTTGATTTACCGCTTGCATTCTGAAACTCAAATAATGGAGGAAATAAAATCAAAGAAAACTCAGACTCAAATACCAGCATACCTGCTATCAGAGACTCTTTAAATCATATTGCACACATTCAGTTTTCTTTGCTGTGACTTCAGGATAAAATGGCTCTGTGTATAGTCATTCCACTCTTGAAACTTCTCAAGCTACATTCAGAAGTTTATTCCTTTACTCTAACTCTCATCATCTTTTGCTTTAGTCAAGACTAATTGTTCTCTCTGTAAACAGGCAGTTACCTGTTGCTTGAAGGTAAATTTATCTTACACTGACTTTTTTGTTACTCTAGACATCTTTCTGTTGTTGAAACTATCATTCTCATAATTTCCTCACCTCTTTCATAAGCCCATCCTTATTTCTTCAAAAGTCTGTATTACAGTCTCTTTATAGTCTTTATGTATCTTTTCTGTTCTGAAAGACATAGCACTGTAAGTGGACATAAAAGGATGAGTAATATGTATAATAAATATAGTGCAGAATATGCATAGTGTAATCCATGAGTATTTTATTTTGTTATATTCTGAGATATTTTATTCACAATTTCTTTTCAGTAGACTTTTCTGGTTTTGGTAGAAATGTCAACAGTAATTGGCATTCTTTTGATCTTTTGTAGGCACATTTCATGCCAAGTCTACTTCAAGCTCAGTGCACTAATCTGGTACATTCTCTGTGGTACTTCCAGATGTTGAACAGATATGTTTTTAAAAATGCAGGGCCAAATTATAATCAGTCTTCCTAAATATCACTCAGCGGGATGTATTATTTCTGGTGATTGTACAAACACCTGTGTCTTGTTTTATTTTATGACAGTGTGTCAGAGGTGATAGTGAGGGTTCCATCTGCTAAACTTCTATACAAGTTAGTATGATACAACCCTTCTTGTTTTTTCCTTTTTGAAGATTGATTTCATCTTCAGTGATATGATTAGTTTAGCCAAGATCTAAATCTTGTACAGCCTGCACAACAGCCATTTTAATATATCTAATTTCTGCTGTTATAGATAAAGGAAAAAGCTTCTTGGTGAACTCTCTCAGATCTGATTTATTCCCTGTAAGTTTCTTTAAGAATCCAAGTCAAAGTTTTGTTCTTTTTTTTTTTTGTATTTTTCTCTTTCGTTTCCAGTAATTTCAGCTTATCGGTTTCCATCTTGAAACTGTGGCTTGGATAGCCTTGGTGATCACGCTTATGTGTTGGATGCATCTTCTCTTCTGTGTGTTGCTTAGACTTAACGGTTTGATCAAGTCTCGGTGTCTCAAGTATATTTTTCTGCATTACTAAATTCCCATCTAACCTGCTACTGTTATATCTTTTGGATTTGTTGTCTGTTGTTGTTCATCCAACCCATTTAATCCAGACTAATATATACATTAATCAACTTCTGTAGAGATGTAAGGTGAAAATGCTTTTTGATATCAGTGAAATCTCTGTACCCATTATTCTGGAAAGATCAGAAAACCTCCATTGTGGTTATCTAGTAATTTAATCCAGAACTATCATTGTAAGAAACACGATAAACCTACTTGGCTGAATGCAAAGCTGATTTCTGTCCTCTTCCACTGTAAAGAAGTACACTTAAAGTCTTGCCAGCTGTACATCTGACAAGGGTTTATTATAATGGAATAGCAGCTGTATACCATCCTCTTCCAAAGCAGCAGACACTGGAAGAGTGTCAGGAATCAGAGGGATCATACTGGTTGTAAGTACTGATGTCAGTTGCTTCATCAGGGATCTTGTTTTTAAAGAAGGGCTTTCATCTCTGTGTAGAACACCTTATGAATCTTTTTTTGGACATTGGTATCCAAAATATCCAGGATATCAGAATGTTAACTAGAAACAGGCTATAGGACTTGGATTGTTTTACTCCAGATAGATAACCTAACAGAGGCATAATCAAGTAATGATTTGTTGCATCTTGCCTTCCATTTCAAGTCCTATCTTCCTCATTTGTACCTGTGTTACACATGCTGTGTTTAGAGTATTTCTAAATTATATTCATATTTTTCTTTATAGTTAGGTTAGCTATGTTTAGAAAAGTTAAGTGGTTAATGTAAATTAGCATTTCTTATATAAAATTTATTATATTTATTCAAAGTAATTCAATTCACTGCTTCACAGAAGAGTTCTGCATAATGTAAGTACATCATTGAATGCAGCTTAGCAATGTTTACATTGCAGTAATAATTCAAACTTTGAAGTTTTCAACCTAGCTTGAAGCAAGGTTGAGTTGCTACAAGTGTGTACAGGCTATATACCTGAAATACATGGTGGCAAAATTCACATAAATAAAATTCTGCCTCTGACGCTGCAATCATGTTGTTGTTGTGAGCGT